CATTGTTTTACAGGCTTCTCTGTACTCCTTACTACAAGCGGTAAACGAGATATCATCTGGAGGAAATTACAGAGACGAGGATATTAATGTCTTTGTTCAAAGGAGGTACTGCACCAGTTACTTATTGAATCTGGCTTTTCACATGAACACAACTTTTCTATACGTTTTTGCTTCCTAAAATATTACCTCAGCTACTTCCTTGTCTATAGATTAGATTTCTGTAATAGTTAATCTATCGATGCATTGTCTAAGTTGGATTTCTGAGTCATGCCATATCTTCCGGCTAAGCTATATTAACTAGTGAACACAAACTTTCTAGCTTTTGTAAAGATTGTGTGAGATTTCCATTGCTTTGTGTTTTATAGTTTGAGGAATCTTCTTTCATCAATGTTGGAAATCTTTCTGGAACTGGTTGTTGCTATCTAGTTTTTCTTTTTAACTATTTTCCTATGTTCAATTTTTGGCATTATGCAGCTTATCACGCCAAGCTGCTCCCCTTGAGAATATGATGCGAGAGAATCTATCTTCCAAACATCCTAAAGCCTATGAATGGTTTTGGTCCGAGAAACTTCCTTCAGTGGTGACATCTTTTGTGAATTATATTGAGGGGGACCAACGTTTTGTTGCTGCCACTTCTGTGTATGTTTTCTCTTTCAAATCTCTTTCTTTTTGGTTGAATGCTCTCACCTTATTAGTAAATACTGTAAAACATTAGTTTGATTGTGAGGTTTCATTCCAGCTATGCAAAAGGAAAGTCCGCAGCTGCAAGTAATGAGATTGAGGTGTCACTTCTCATGCTTGTGCTCAATTGCATTGCAGCAATCACGAAAGTTGGCCCGGCAAAATTTTCCTGCCCGCCCTTCTTCTCTATGATTCCAGATACAACTGGAAGATTGATGGAAAAACTTGTAGACTTCGTTCCACTCCCTCAAGCGTATCATTCAATCAAAAGCATAGGCCTACAAAGAGAGTTTCTTACTCATTTTGGTCCTCGCGCAGCAGTGTGCAGAGTTAATGGTGACATTGCTACAGATGAAGTTGTTTTCTGGATCGATCTTATACAGAAACAACTGCAGCGGGCTATAGATAGGGAGAAAATATGGTCAAAGTTAACAACATCCGAAAGTATAGAGGTAAGAACTGTCCAGAGGACACATTTAAACTGTTTATAGGCTTTCTGTGCATTGGTCATATTAGTTCTTTTTAATGTTTGAATATGAGCATAATAGCTTGTCTAGATTACTCTCCTTATAAGGGCCTTTGAACATGAGAAAGTGGCTTAAACAGTGTATAAATTTAAGGGTCTAGATAAAGTGACGCTAGTAGAAGCAAAACAAATATTGGGAGACTTTAGTTTACGGAGTTACTTTTTCGTGAAAAACAGTGATTCCAAGTTTATCTCGGTTTTATTACCCTTTAAGATTTATGATAGTATATTTGTATATAAATCTTTTGAAGTTAATTGGCACCTGTCGGTGCCTTGCAGGTTTTGGAGAGAGATTTAGCAATTTTTGGATTCTTCATTGCTTTGGGCAGGAGCACACAGTCCATTTTAGCTGCAAATGGTTTTGATTCTCTGGAGAATCCTTTGGAAGACCTTGTTAGGTAATTGTCACTGTTTTACCCTATTTCCATTCCCACTTTTGTAAGTTTGTGTTTACTTATCACACTCTTGACCTATACTCATGAACTGTTTAAATTCAGGCATCTTATTGGGGGCAGCGTCCTGTACTATCCACAACTTTCAGCCATCAGTTCATACCAGCTGTATGTAGAGGTAGACATTAATCAAATCATCAGTAGAAAATTCCTAAGGATTATTTTGATGTCTTTTCATGGAAATTAATGTAGGTTGTTTGCGAAGAACTAGAATGGATTCCTTTCTATCCAGACAATACTGGCACACAGCCTCCAAAACAATCACATGGGCATAAGAGCAAAACAGAAGGACCACCTAATTATGAAGTTATTCCCCAACTGTTGGATGTTTGCTCTTATTGGCTACAGAGTTTTATTAAATATAGTAAATGGCCAGAGAATCCATCTAATGTCAAGGCAGCAAAATTCTTATCCAAGGGGTATTTGACATAATGTCTACTCAATATTTGGACAATAAAGAAAGTTTTTTTGTTTTTGTGCTGACTGTCTTTCTTAATGTTCAGGCACAAAACTTTGATTCGGTGTAAAGAAGAACTGGGGATATTAAAGTAAGATAACGGAACCCCATCTCTCTGATTTATACATTCATGCCTGCATTTGAAAAATCACTTTCCTACTTGATTGGTATACTCTACTAATAATTGAGACTGTACCTGTGAGAAAAATACTTCCAAGCAAAATTCAAAGCATATGTCTTGGATATTTACAATTATGTCGTAGTTACAACAAATTGCGTGGAAAACATCTCCATTAACTTTGCATTTTTCACATTCATGATTCTGGAGCCTGCCTTTATCAGTTACTATCAATCTAGCAGCCTTTATCAGTTACTATCAATCTAGCAGACTGTCTGCCGTTTGGATTATGTGTGATGCAGGATGGAAGTAACAAATACCTATTTTTTGACAGGAATGCATCATCAATTGTTAGAGAGTCGAACTCATTTGACAAGGTTGGTCTCTTATGAATTGGTCTATTTGGAAGAACTGTTGTACTTCGTACACTACTTGGATCCGATTCCTGTTAAAGATTTTTTGTCTTATTGAAGACAATTATATACTAACAGTACATAGTCCCCAGGCCCTAGAAAGTGTAGATGAAGCCCTCGTGAGACTGGAAAGCCTGCTACAGGAGTTGTATGTATCAAACTCATCGTCTGGAAAGGAACAAATAAAAGCCGCTTGCTCTGACCTAGAGAAAATACGGAAGCTTAAGAAAGAGGCTGAATTTCTGGAGGCAACTTTCAGAGCCAAAGCAGCTTCCTTGCAACAGGTTTTTCTTTTTCATTGTCACTTTTTGTTTTGATCCTGCTAGAGCTGCAATTTATCTGAATGCTAGATGGACCAAAGCAAACCAATTGTATCCCTCTCTACGCAGTGTAGCATCAGTCCCAAAATAGGATAATAAAGAAAGAATTGAGAGTGCATGTTTTGCTTTTATTGCTTTTAAATTTGTGTGGGAGACTAAAACCTCATATGGTGAACACAGGGAGGTGACAAAAATGATTCTCAGGAATCCTACGAGGTACAAAAACGGTATTTTAAAGGGAAAGACACAAAAAGCGCAATTAGTTCTGAGGATCAAGGCAAAAGGTATGCTACCTATTGCTTAATATTATCCCTCTTCACGCTTTCCATGTTAGTTTCAGCTATATAAGGGTGACTAGTCTTTTGTTCCACTCTGGTCACAATGACGTATTTGTTGTTTCTCTCTGCATTAGTATAAGTCGTGGATTCTGGGGATTCTTTGTACGGCCTCCAAGGAAGAAGCTTGATCCTGAGATATCAGTAAGCACCATTTTGTGATCCTATCTCAAGTATTTTGCATATGTAGTGTCCTGAAATTTTCTGATAGCATATACTACTATTTCGTTTTCATTTAATTGAAGATGATGCATATAAAATCCCACCATTTCCAGTCTAGCACGGATAAAGGTTTCAGGAATTCGTTTCGCATATGCAGGGAGGTGAATATATTGGGAAACCCAGTGGAAACTTACTTAGCATAGACTCAGAATCAAATGAGATCAGCCGATTCGAAATTCTAAGGAACGAGCTAATAGAACTGGAAAAGCGGGTCAAAAGAAGCACTGATCAGTCAGTAGATGAGGAGGTTAGTAACTGTTAACTGACAAACTGCTAGTTTCAATAATGCATTCATTTCCTCTTAAGTTAAATAAAAAGCTCATACCAAAAGGAAAGTGAAATGACATATTATCCTTTCAGTTGGATTAACCATCATTTTAGTAAGTGAAACCCTGTATGATGAACAATCCCGTACTAGCCTAATTCTGTGTTGTGCTCTTAGCTCTGTTACTTTCATGCTTAAACTTCTCAACATGGTAGAAGATGATCAATCAACTCCCTTTTAGTAAATCCAAAATGCTGTGTCTTGCGTCTTTTGTTTCACCAATACTAGCTTCCAAGTGTTTGTTCTTATTTTACAGGAAATAATATCTGAGGATACTCCTCAAGCAAGCAGTAGAACGGAAAGTGTTCAGTTGGTTCAGATTCCCATGAAGGAAAACATAATTGAGAAAACTCTTCAAAAGCTAAGAGAAGCCTCCACGGTATAAATATCTCCTCTAAAGACTACATCTATATGGTGTGTTTCTGTGTTATTGGGTCATTGTCTTTTCCTCTGTGCTTTGTTCATTTTTTCCCTTTACAGGATGTGTGGCAAGGTACTCAACTTCTTGCCATTGATTCAGCAGCTGCTGTGCAGCTACTTCGGAGATCTCTGATTGGTGATGAATTAACAGAAAAAGAAAAGAAAGCCCTGCGCAGAACCATGACTGACTTGGCATCAGTTATTCCCATCGGTATTCTAATGCTTCTTCCGGTAAGTCAAAAATAACCTTACAGAGTTACAGATAAGTTTATGTTCACTTTTTTGAAATTATACACTTTTTCTGAATCACTCCAAGCTACATCTTTAATTAGTTGCTTTGTACAACCCTATGGCGCCTACAGTGTCAGCATTCTCATTCACAGCTCCATTTCCTCGTCTATGGGACTAATATATTTAGTATGCTATTCTGAACAGGTTACAGCGGTTGGTCACGCAGCCATGCTGGCTGGAATTCAGAGATATGTACCCGGCCTGGTAAGCACACCTTCTGTGTATATAGATCCGTCAGGATTCAAAAACTTCTCTTTGAATCAGTTTTGATGATATTCTTCATTCAGATTCCTTCCACATATGGGTCCGAAAGGTTGAACCTATTGAGACAGCTTGAGAAAATCAAGGAACTGCAAACAAATGAAACTGAGACCGAAGAAGGTGTCGAGGAAATAGCATTATGACTAGGAAGGAAGCAATATATACTTGTACCTCTATTCATTTTGTTCGGTAATTCATTGCCAAAAGCTGCGCATAGAGAATCTCATTCCATGTGTCAGGTACACCGGGTAAGCACCAGTGACTGCAGTCTTGAGGAGCATCTTCAGGAGTTCCCGGTTCTCGATACCGTGAAGGATGAGCATCTTTCCTGAACTCGGTCAGATATGTAATGTTCAGAAACTTAACCTTTCTATGTTCATATCTCATTTCTTGGATTACTTGAGAAATATAATTGTTGTGGATAGGATCAGGTTCCATCTTCTTCATATCAGTCTCTGGCTCTGTCTCTGCATCACACAAACCACCCAAGTTCCATGTCCCGTTCCTAAAAACACCCAAAAAGGTCAAACCTGGGTCAAAGTTCTAAAGACTATCGTCTGATTCGTCCTCTTTTAATTTTTTTTGAAACAGACCTGTAGTGTACAGGAGAGAAGCTTCTGAAGAAGACATAACTCCTCTCAGAATCTAGTCTCTCTAAAACCCATGACTTCCATGTCTTTAAAGACTTCCCAAATCCCTCCATTACTCTCATTGTCTTGTTCAATTTCCCTCCCTCTTGAAAATAGCAGCCCCTGCAACAACAACAGAAGTAACCCGGTAAGACTCATCAACCACCTTTCTCTTGTTACCAGAATGTTGAATTCAACATGAAGATCTTACGCATTAAAGGTCTTGTCTTCGTTCCACCAATGTCCTGTATTGAAGACAAGAACATCAGACCCGACCCACTTTTTGGACTGCCAGTTAAACTCATCGACTCTAACCGTCATTTTGACATCTACCGATGAGTTCTCAGGTGGCCGACCAACCACAACCAGAAACGGTGTTCTATGATATTCAACAGTCAGGTTTTGTTCCGGAAATCGCATAGAAAGGAAACCCTTATGCTTGCTTATAGGGTTCCCATTAACTTCATATATCTCAGATTTATTAGACACTGCTTGTGACAGCATACACATAAGAGATTCCCATTGGTTTCTTCCGATAGAATCTCCAACGAACACAATCCTCCCATTCCGACTTCTCTCCAGAAAATCACTTGCGTTAAATCTGTAATCGTTTTCACAAGAAGTACAAAGTAACCATATCTAACAAATAAAGTACAAAAAAATTGAATTTGATTGGCGCAAAATTCATATATATATAAGTGTAAAGTTTCAACCTTTAAAGTCACAAAAGCAATTCAAAATTAAAGTGGACAAATCATTAATTATTTTTAATCAAACAAGATTAAAGTTGGTTTCTAGAACCAATGATTGTAATAACTCTATAAGCTCTAATGGATCAATGAATTGCCAGTAACCCTAATTAAGCCCTAGATGTTTGTTTTACTCGGAACCAATACCTTCAGGTCCAAGGAAAATTACGTAAGAATTAGTTACCGTGGAAGATCGCAGCCATGTGGTTGCCATCGCCATTGTCGAAAACCAGAATCTTTTCGTCCATTATTCAGACAACGAAAACCAGGATCCAGAAACCGACACTCTTCTCCATAATAAGAGGTTTCGTCCACATCACGGCGTCGACGAACCCATCTTCCGTGTGAATAGTCGCATACGTCGTCGTTTCCTCTTTCCTTCGTTAGGGTTCGGGACAAAGATAAGAATCCAAAACAGAGACGAGGCTCGAAGCCGACAAGATCGATGACGATAACAGAGAATATTAGGAAGCCAATGAGAAGAGAGATCCCGACAAATATAGGTTTCTTGATCTTCAAGGTTGAGAAGAAAGGAGACGAAGATAGAGAGAAAAGCTCCTTCAGCGGATTCGATTCTTGATGATGATCCATGTCGCATAAGATGCAATCTCTCTCCCTCTTTCTCTGTGTGAAGAAGAGACGTGAAAATGTGAATATGTGATCTTCTTTTGCCTGAGAAAAGTATTAATAAATAGTTTCTGTAGGCAATAAATTCGTAATTAAATTATTAATAGATCCATCATCAATTCATCCATGTGACAGACAAAAATATTAATAGAATGCATCCCACATAATTGAATTAACGTAAAATAACAGAAGTTTCTTCCTCCCATGTTCGCTTCTACATTTTTTAGATCGAGACGATCGAGACGACTAATCTATTGGAAGATAGAAAACCAGAGATCGACCTCGAAGATTGAGATAACAAAACAAAGATATATGGTAAGAAGATACGATCCTAAAAAAATATGGATTAAGGTTAATATCTATCCCTAATATCTAAGTTTAGGATATTTATCTTGAAATATATTATTCCATTTAAGTTATCTTAATTTAGGAAACTAAATTAATTTTTTCTCTATATATATCAATGTAACTTGTAACATTATTTTTATGAAGTTATGAGAATCTATTATAATTTAGGAAACTAGATTTATTATTTATCTCTCTCTCTCTATATATATATATATATATCGATGTAAGTTGTAAAACTATTCTTATGAAAGTCTATTATTGTTCTTTACGCTCATCAATTTATCACTATGAAAAAAATATTAAAACTATATTATTTCATCTCAAAATTAAAATAAAGGTATGTATACAAATTTTTTTTTTTTTCATAATTTGATGATGCTTATCTAATAATCAACACGTGTAGTGTAGCAAACTGATTTTTTTTTAAATGATTTTTACACTTAAATTTTGCTACCCTATCACGTTCTATTTTTCCTTCTACCTATAATAAACTACAAAAATCATTATTATATGAGGAAAGAGAGTTGAGGAGAGATTTGAGTTGAATTTCTTGGCCAACCATGTAAATTTGACCAATAATAAATAATTTATTAATTAATTTACAGAATTGGGCCGAACTTTTCTGGTATTGTCGAGTATCCATTACCACCACTCAGAAGTAGCACATGCCAATTTGCTTTACAATTTCAATATTTTTGAAAGTCACTATTGGTTAATTACAATATACTTAAAGATTATTATTTTTTTAATCTTTAAAGAGTATTAATGGGAATAGAGACCAAAGTGTCATATATATCAATATAAAAAAAGTTCATACAAGTCTGTGAAGACTTTACCTTCACAAGATATATGTGCAATGTCTTTTTAACAAATTAGTTCCTTCGTATATAGATGTCTCTCTCTCGTCAAAGTGTTAAGTGTATAAACATAACAAGGGAATACTACCAAAAGTAATCAAATATTATCTTTCTACATAGACATGTTTCAAATGACAAAGTTAATTGCTACGCTTGATGATCTATTAGACTATTAATTTAAATTTCCTAAAACTCTTTTATTTGAAGAGCACTAAAAGAAATCAAAGAGTGGAGATGGAGGATAAACAAGAATTAGAGAATAAAAAAAGACTAAATTAAGTCTCGATTTTATGTTTATGTTTGCGTTTGTGTTGCCATGTTAGAATATTCAATAGTTTAATCATGTATAAAAACAGAAACTTGCGTTTGTGTTACCACTTACCAATACTAATATGGAGAAATATAAACACAAACGTAAATGCATAGAAACAATTGGGACCTAATTAACCTATTTTGTCATAGCTTGTAAAAATGATTCATATTCCTTTTACACTGTCTTTGCTATTCAAAAACAGAAGAGAATCAAAAGAAGAGTGTAAGTAACACAGAAACAAAAAAATGGTCCCTAGCTTTGGCTTTGGAAAAGAGAGAAAAGGCGATGTAACACAACCTATATATTTTACGTACACACATGCTATATATGAATATGCTCTCTCTTCTTTAATCATTGGTAATTAGGCCCACACTTTTTGTTCATATAATCTCCTCACATGAATCTCAACAGTTCCCAATTCATTTCTCATCATCATATATACATGCTACATGTGTGTAAGTGTAAGGTTTAGCCTAGGCCTAGCTCACCAATTAGGGGTACCTGCCCTCAAATGACTTTTGTGATAGAGAATAGATGAGAAACCCACTAATTTACATCTTTTTGCATATATTTTTCTGTTCTGATGACTCAAATGTAGACAAAAATAATCCTCTTTTATTTTTGTTTCAAATTAGTTAAATAGTAAATACATAACGAAGCTACTGATATTAATTCTCCTCTGGGTGTTTCTCTATGACAGTTGGGCCAAGTATGGGCCCATAATCTAAAGTCAAAATCTAAAAAGTTGTCACTTCTTTTTTGAATGTCATCAACCTCGTCCATCTCCTACCTGCTCCAATGCTTCCCCAGCAAATGATATATTCTGTTTCACAAACCCAACACGCAATTTTATTATTTTTATTGTCAGCAATAACTTTTCTGCAAGAGTATACTGTTAAATATAGTATATTTCACATTATTTTCCAACATTATAAAACAGAGTAATCAAATCAGAACTTATGTCGTTTGACAAAAAAAAATTTCATTGATAAGTTTGTAATGCTTTTAGTCAGTTTTGTATTTCCAACAAATTAGTAAGTCTTTTGCTTTCACAAAAAAAACTGACGGTGCCAAACAAATAAGAATAGTAAAACCAAATTATAGACTTTTCACCGGAAATTATATACTTAAGGCAGATATTAATTAATAAATAAATAAAAGGAGGCTACAGAGCCAAATCAAAGTAATCAACAAACAACAAATTGGCCATGTGGTTTTACAGTCAAGTGTAGTATTATTCTCCCTGATTCCTCCATTATATTATTTATTAAACAAAAAAATCTCTTTCAGGTCTATTTTAAAATTACTAATTTCATCTGTCTCGTCTCGAGAAACAGCCACGACATCTGTTTAATAATTATATCAATTCAATTTATATCATAGTTAATTAGCATATACTATAACGTCAGCAAAAATTTGAATCTGACAAAAATGTAAAAAAGTTATTTACCATGGGATGAGGAGTTGAGTAATAGTAAATGTGTTGGCCATTATAGCCGTCTGGACGCGGTGGTGGCTCGACGGCATCAACGTGACATTCGAGGTTCACGCCAAATAGCCTCACCGTCCTCGAACTCCCTGTGACCACCGGTGGTATCGACTGAGCCTGATCAGCGACGGCGCCTACAATTTTTCCACCGTCACGACACGTGCGCATATGCATCTTTTAGTTAAATTGTTTTTTTAAATGAATTAAAAGGAAGAAAATAAAGAGCACGTTAGTCTAAGTGGATTGGACGGTTCTCCTCACGCGCATGTAACGGATTAGTTACAACTTGGAGAAGATTATTGAAATTGTCGGGTCCAAAATTAAAAATAATAAAAATGACAAAAATAAAAGACAAAATGTTATTTCAGGTTGTTATTTTATATACATACTCACGCAACCAAAATAATTGTCATATAGTTTTAGATAACTCCTTTGCTTTTATAAGAAAGATATTCCACCAGCTAACTAAAATGGTTGAGCTTTCCAAGTTCTTGCCCTAACCTTTAAAAATTCTTATGTTTTGCTTTTAAAACGTAACCAAAAAAAAAATCTTAGATAGAAATTAATCAATTATAATAATCTATGAATGTTCTATATAGGTAAATTCCATATAAAATAGCCAGAAAATCTAAAATAATAATCAACTTTAGTTTTTTGAAAATAACATGTAAATATGCAATAAAATTACGAAACATCTCTTTTTGTGAAAAAAGGACAAATATCTCTTAAAAAAACAGAAAAGAGTATAAATCTGACATATAGATAAGAGAGAAAGAAAAAACAAAAGAGGAAATAAAAGAGTTTGAATTTTACCATAGTGTGAATACTCTTGGTGAATATTAGGGTAAGTAGTTGACGCGTGTACTTGACGATAAGGTGTGGTCAAGCCGCTCCAATACGCCGTCGTATTAACTAAAGCTTCTTGAGACACGGCGGAGACGGCGGGAGAGGAAGAAGCTTCACCGCGTCTCCGCCAGCCAATGAAGAGTCTATGGAGATCAAAACGGTGACGTTGAAAGAAAACCACGTCGCCTGCGTCGAGGTGTTTGTCTTTGACGTACCTGCTCCATCCTTTGGTCAACACGTAGCTTTGGCTACTGTTCCAATAAGAGTATCTGAATTTCCAACACTTGCCTGACTCATCCTCGAAGCTAAGAAGCATCCCTTTCTCAGTCGTCGCCACGTCATCGCCGCCGCCGCCATTATTATTGAGAGGGAAGTATTTCTCGGCGTGTTGTTTTGGTATGACTAAGCGGTTTAGCTTTCCGACGTCGCTTGGTGTGAGTGATTTCTCGAACAAAGACTCTCTTTGTGCTATGGCGGCTACGTCGTTTTGGTGGTGTTGATGCAACGAGAGAGTGTTGTGGTAATGGTTGACTGACATTTTTTTTTTGGTTTCTTGGAGTGAGAGAGAGAGAAGATTTGCAGATGTTGGTTTGGTGGTGAAAGAGAGATGGGTAATGGTACTAATATAGTATTATACGAAGGAGAAGACAGAGAGTGAAAAAATTGAAAAATGGTTAAATTGATGTGAAAACAGTGGGAACTATTTGATGAGGAGAGGAGGACACGATACCGATAGTACTTTTAAGGTTTTGCGTGATGATATTTCCTTTCAATCATTATTTTTTTTGTTATTGTTGTTGCAGTCATCCATATATTAAAATATTTCGTATTGATTTTACTTTTTTCTCGTCTGATAAAATCTTGTCCTAAACAGCATTGGATCCCACGAGTGTTCTATAGTTATAGTGTTAAAAGAAAGTAAGCCACACAAAACGCCGCGACCTAACCCTTTAAATTGGAGGTTAAAGCATTTTGATCATGTAATTATTGGAATATTAATAGTGATAGCAAAAAAATGATGGATTCAGTTTCGAAATGTGTTACAGAGATGTTATATTTCAGCATTGCCGGATCTTATGTTTTTGTATACAAATTGATTATCAATATATGGTAATACAAATTGAAAGTTAAATAAATAGTATATGACGTTATTAATTAACAAGATGGTATAGACTGTCAAAGCAGATAAACCTTAATTATCAAGCAGCCATAAATATGTGGGTTGCGTGAGTCAAACAATCCTTTGTCATGACTCATGTGGTTTGCAATTATATTGATCAAACCCTCTCACTGGTTCTAAAGGATTAAATTCTCATAAAATGGTTATGAGATCATTTACTTTTGTATGCATTTTCAGCTTCGAAATATCGTTGAGTATTATCCTAAAGCTGAGAATCTCACTCACTGCCATAAATTTATTTGGAAGATAAAGGAAGCTCTTTTGTTTTTTCTCTCAACCATTTGGTTAATGAAATTAATTAATGTGTCAGTTTATTTTTTAAAATGAATTATGATTATGACAAAAGAAATTAAATTTGATAACTAAGAACTATACCTTTGTATAATCAGTAAACCAATTGATTTTTAAGAACTATACCTTTGTATAATCCGTAAACCAATTGATAACTAAGAACTATACCTTTGTATAATCAGTAAAAGAAAATTTGATAACTAAGAACTATACCTTTGTATAATCAGTAAACCAATTGATATATAATTTGATATTTTCCTTTCTATTATTAAATGTGTTTATTAATTTACGAATACAGGTAGTTTAGTTTACAATTATAGAAATTGGTTTACAAAAAGAAAGAGAAACTATTCGATGTTTTTTAGGGGGAACTTTTTTACTCAACATGTACATGAGAATATAAGATGTTAGTACATCCATTACCAATTGATTTGGAGTTAAAAACTTATAAAAATTTATATACATAACTAAGAAAAATATTAAGATTATGACAGTTTGTCACGGCTGTCTATAAACGTAATAGATAGTTTCTGACAATTAAATTTAATTACAATCGGATAGGAAATTAATTATAAATATCACTTTCCTAGGAAAACAGTATATTTAGTTTGTAAAATGAAATATATGAGACGGGAATTGAAAACGAAAACGAAAAAAAGAAAAAAAAAAGAGAAGGTAATGAAGAAATAATGGAAGATTAAAGATCAAACGGTTGAGAAGTGAGGTGGTACGTATTAAGCAAAAGTAAGAAGGTACAGAGGATACTTACCCCTGACGCAAGTGAGAAGCTCAAGTTGTGGAGCATGTGCTTTGCCTTTCCGACACACCATCGCATGCATCTTCACTTCTACTTCATACCATCCCTTATGTTCCTATCTCTCTTTCTCTTTCTCTTTATTTACATTTTATTCTCTCTTTTTCTTTTTCTAATCATTTTATAATCGAGAGGGATAAAGACTTCAAGATTTATTTGTGAAATCGACTTGACCTTTTGGCACTCTTTCTCTTTTTTTCCTTTACAATATATATTGAACAACCATCCTATACTTCGACGCTATTTAATGCTCATCAGCAAGCTGTGATATTTGACCAAACATATAAGTCATGCATCTAGATGAGAAATTGAGAACGGTGTGAAATATTTGATCAATTTTAGAAGAAAAAAGTTCTAATTAATAAATTTATGGATTGAGTAAGTGAACAAGTAAAAAGAAAAGACCTTTTGGTCTAGATGTTGGTTTCTTGTTCGATGGGTAAATTTCCATGTGTAGTTATTACCATCTTAAGTCGTGAGTTTCGTAGATAATTTAGTGAATATAAGTAATATAACTTACCAAGTCTACCACAAAAATCAATGGGACGTGCAAATGGTTACGTGCGTGGTCCTCTTCTATTTTATTTGACGAATTTCTCAAGTGTCGTTTTATTTAATTATCTTATCACTTGTTAAGTATAGGATCATGAAATATCTGTCACGTGCTTTCAGGACAATATCATTGGTGCTTACACGTTTCTATTTTTCCTAATTTTCTCGCAAAAAGTAATACTAGTGATAATTATTTTCATCAATAGTTTCCCGTAAGAAATGGTTCCTCTCACAATAATTAACTCACCTAATTGTAAATAATTAACGCAAGACCCACTTTAGTTAAGAGCATATTGTTATAACAATAGTAGAACTTAATAGCCGAACTAGGGTTTCCAAATTCCAAATATAATTGTAAGAAGAAAGAAAACACAAAGATATAAGATTTGTTGCATTGGACTACGTGTTTCACTCCTTTCCTCACACTTAATCTATGACGTTAATTATCTCCTGCCCATAGAAACTAATGTCGTTTAGTTATAATCGATCCATATAAGTCTCTCTCATGAAAAGTATACGCATAAATATGAAATTACATTTAATATTTACATTATACTATATTAATTAGAGTTATTGGTACAATAAAAACATATAGTCCAGTCTGTATGAACTATCTGTTTGTAATTGGAATAAATTCGCGTATATTAATGAGTTTTGCAGATAAAAAAAAAATGTGACAAATTGCGCATGAATTTTTTTTCTTTTTTGATCAATATGTTTTGTATAGAGAAATGTATATGTTGTTATGTAGGATTGCTTTTCATCCGACCTAGAAACTCAGCATCAAAGGCTATTCCTCCATAATATAAATTTGCGTGAATAATGATATTTTCCTTCTCAACTGTGACGCCATTAGTGGAATATGTTTCATAGCTAAGATATGTCATTGTCAAATATTAGTTTTGCATAATTGAAAGAGGCAGTGAAGGACAACAAACTGACATGATTTTCCAGGTCGATTTAGAGGCACCTTTTTGCATGTACGTCTGCAACTCGACCCCATTAATATCAAATTAAACTAACTCTTCAATTCACTATAAGTTAGTATTTTATTTTTAAGTATATTTTTCCAAAGAAATATTTATTAAAAGTAAGACTAGTTTGATTGTTTAGTATTAATTCATAAATATAGCACATGTTTGGGGGGCATATCCCTTCCCACGAATAATAGAGGTTGTTGATTGCTTGCTTACTTCGTCATTTTTCTATTTATAAATTGTAAGAAAAGAAAAACAGGTGTATCAGATTTTATTTTTTTGTTCTAAAAATATGCATCGTAATAAAAAAATTAACATAAAAAATACGATACCACCGAAGTCTCTCATCAAATATTATGCTTTCTTTTATAAAAATAGCGATTTTAAAAAAGTTCTTATGAACAGCCTATCTAAAATGAATGTACTAGACAATCACTGATCCAGTGACCTTTGAGGCGCTGACTGATTAGATTCCAGGTTTAAGAAGAAAAAAAATTAACAAGATCAAGAGTTCCTATTAATTAGGTTGATTCACTAGCTTCAGAATCATAGCTAATCAATAATGCTAAATCATGTATTCCATCACCTAACTAATTTGATTTGCATCTTATAATTGACCTGTCACATCTCTGTCGTCATTTTATTGTACCTACATCCTAGAGCAAATCTCATTTTTATTATTTTTATTATGGAAGAAGTTAATCACAAGTGAAAATTACATATTTTTTTCTAATATTTGAGTTAAACAGTCAGAGAGCTCAAATATTAGAAGAAATGTTTTTTTTTTTTGTTAAAATAATATTATAACAAATATGAGACACAAACAGAGAGTTGTCTGAAGTCTTCTAATTCATGTTAGTAGTTTGGTAATTAATGAATGATATAAATTAGTACTATAGAACATTTCATCGTGATTAACATTCTCATAGTCATATACCCTTCTCAACATTTCATCGTGATTAACAAATTGTTTACACTCTTTGATACTGCGAAATAAATGTAGATTGAACTTGTGATATTAACAAACACATGTTAATTTTATTTAGTTTGGTCTATTTTGCGAACAAACTTTCCAACAAGACTCTTAATCACATTAATCGCCCTTTTCAACAAACACTACAGCTTGTCTAAATACGTCACCGACTCGTATACGATCCCACAACTTTCTCACCAAACTCGTCAATTCAACTTTTTTAATATGACTTTTTCGTGCTATGAAAATCCATATATATAAACCCTATAAACTTAGCTACTTTCTTGATTAAAATAACACGAGACTTCTAACGAATGCGACGTTGCCTCTTATTAACCACAGATCCGGAAAAAACGTATATTGTATTTTTCCTTAATTTACATAATTGATTTTCACCACTACTACAGTTGTATATAAAACTACTATTGTTTCTTTCAACAATTTGTTAAGGAAACCTCTTTAAGTTTGAAATCTTTACTCCACAATAAGTCAATAACAGAAGAAATGAAGTGTTTGAAAGTATTTTTGGTTTACATCACAAAACGAATAGAGAAAACTTGTGGATTTAGAGGTCATAGCTAAAAAAACGGAGACTGTTACTTTATGCGTGTATTTTAGAAAATTGTCACACAAAACATTTTTGATTTTGAAATTACAGTCACATATTATTCAACTGTGTATCATGGGTATAGACATATTACACGACATAGCCACAAATATATAGAATTATAATGATATCTTGCGCACAAAGGAAAGACACGAGAGGAATCTGCCATGTAATTCGTGGAGGGTTCCTAAAATGATAAATCTGCAAAAACAAAAT